GAAAATCAACACAAATGTTTTTGAAAAATTGAACAGAAATGAGCATCTGCAACTCTACAAGGGCATATGTGAATTTCTTCCGCTCCTTACAGAGATGAAATGCTTCGTCCTCTTCAACTCTGAAAGCCCACTTCAAGAAACGAACTCCATTGTCATCCAGTTGGAAACAATCACCTTCATGCGTTTCCATTCTCAACCTAGTTTTTTTTTCTTTATAGAAAGATAATGCAACCCATTGTCCTATTCTGTGAAGGCCCAGTTAAAGTGATGTCACTAGAATAATAGGTGGAGATTGACAAAATCTTCCCCTCAAATAAAAACGTGAGTTTGGTGAGTAAAATGAAGTGGATATTTTAAATGTATTTTCCTTTTACATTGGAAATGGAGGTATGCAGAGTGATGAGAAATGAAATGACCGAAGAGAAGCTGTAAAGAGAAAAAGGCCAAATGGGGGAAGAGTTCAAGAAAAAGCTAACAGTCGATTGAACTGGCCTCGTAAATTGTAATGTGTGACAGGTATTAAATTCCACTCTATGGCCCTCAAAAGTCAAATTTTACAATTTGTATGAGAAAACAAATATTAGCATATATTCGGTCGGTCGGGTTATTTTCGGTTTATAAATTTATAAACCGAAACTTGCCCAACTGGTCAGGTTGTACATTTATCAATCCAAAACCAACCGACAGCATCAATAAACCGAACATATTGGGTTGAGTTGGATTGGTTTGGTTGGTTTGATTGGTTTGGCATTCTTTGTGAACAGCCCTAACTACAGGTGTACATTGAGAACATCTCCCCAGCTGTTGTACAGCTGTAGTGTCCTGTGGATAGGAGATCCAAGCTCTTGGAAAAGAAAGGGAAAGCTGGTGGGGGAAATTATTAGCAGCCAAATATGATACAGACAGTGGTGATTGGGTAACCATATCTAACTTTCCTCTTTGGGGTGCTCTTTATGGAAGAAAAGTATGGAAAATTTTCCATTTCTAAATAGAGGCTTGTCTCCAAAGTTGGGAAATGGTCAAAGACTGAGTTTCTGGAAGGATAATTGGTGTAATAGCAGGCCATTAGCAGAGTTATTCCCCCAGTTATACCATCTTGTAGAGAATCAGGATGCAGTGGTGGCTGATTGCTGTGAAGTGAGGGACAATAGCATTTCCTGGAGTCCTTTTAGAAGACATTTTCAAGACTGGGAATTTGATCAAGTGGTTGAGCTGTTTGAGTTGCTGTCCAATCAATCGTTGAATCTGTTGGAAGAAGACACTTGGATCTGGAGTTGGACTGCAGATGGGCTTTTTTAAGTTAATTCCTTTGCCAGAAAATTAACAGTTGGAGATAGAGCTGATCAATGATTTAAAAGGCGCACCTAGGCACACAGGCGAGGCGCATTTTAGGGTATGTGCCTCGCCTAGGTCCTAGGCGCAACACTTTCAAAAGGCGCACTCCTGGTGTGCCTAGGCGTGCGCCTGATGTGCCTTGCACCTTAGCCCAAGCATGCACCTTTTTAAATTTTCATGCCTTTTTGCTTTTTTGAACCTACCGGCTGGGCCGAGGGCTCTGCCCCTGGACCCCCGACCATGCCTCTCGAGGCAAGCCCAAACAAGTCCATGTTGTTCATTCATTCATCCTAATAAAATATCTTCTTAAAAGGCAATTAAAATTATAAAATCATTATCTTTGTGCGAGAATCAAGAATTTAAGACCCTAACATGGACTTGTTTGTTCTTGCCTCGAGGGGCTTGGTACAAAGGCGGCTCTTAGAATCAAGGATGCAATATATTTTACATCACATTAGCAACTTGAAGTAATGCAATTAAGACAAATAAAAAAAAAGAGATTGTGGGTTTTACATACTTGAAAATGTTTTATATGTTTGATTTTTTTTTAATTTTCATTTGAATACGCTTTACATGTGATGTTTATGCATTTTAATTTTAGATAATAGGTTTATTAAAATGTTTATTTTAAAATTTAACTTTATATTTTTATTAAAATTATGTTTAGTATTTTTTTTTCATTTTTAGCATTTTATGAATTTTCTGACTTTTTTTTTGTTTTTTTCACCTTGCTCCAAAAAGGCGTGCACCTCGCCTTGCGCCTTGTGCCTCGGGTGCAAATTGCCCCTTGTGCTTTTTTGCACCTTGCACTTTTAAAACACTGGAGCTGATGTTCCTGCTGCTAAATCTGGAACCTGATACCCTCCCCTCTCTAAAGTAAATGTCTTGTTTTGGGCTGTAGTATTGTACAGATGTCTAACTAGAAAGAACCTGGTTAGAAGAGCGATTCAGATTCAAGACCTGCTGTGTGTGCTGTGTCGCCAAGTAGAGGAGGATAACAACCATTTGTTTATACATTGTCCTGTTTCTGCAGCAGTATGGGGGCACTTCTTCTCCTCCTTGGGCTTATATTGGGTCATGCCAAATGCTGTGTTGGACCTGCTATGGTGCTGGGAGACCCAAGGCCTGTCCAAGCTGGCAAAAAGCGTGTGGATGTCTGTTCCTGCAGCAGTGATTAGTACCACCTGGGCGGAATGAAATAGATGAATTTTCTAAAATAGGTCAAAGGATGTAGGTTGTCTAATTTCTTGCACTTTTGGCAAGTTAGTTTCTTGGACTACAGCTGTGAAAGGTCTCCAGACCAGGGTGCTTGGAGCCCAGCTGAGGTCTAGAAGTCTGTTAGAGTTGTAATTTAGTTTGGGGTCTTGGATCCTGTCTGTAGCTCCTACAGTGGGCCCCCTCTGTAATCTCTTGTTCTGTTTCTAATAAAATTACCTTACCTTTTTTTCAACAAAAAAAACATTAGAGTTGCTAGTTTTTTAATGCTTTCACAATACTGGCTGCACTTTGAAGCTCCACTTCAGATTCCAACTTATCAGCATTACTTGTAACCTATCCCTTTCATCCAACCTCTTTTAAGAACTTCATCTGGCTGCCACCTTCCATGAAAAAGAAACTTGTCTTTAATGCCAATCCATAGTTCCATACCTTTATTGGTTCAAGCCTGTTCTGGTGTCATAACTTGATGGTTTCATCTTATCCAAAACCTTGCATCCCCTTAACAAAAGGAAAAAAAAAGAAAAGAAAACAAAAGAAAACATTGCCATCCTCTTCAGATTCTTGTTCATCACAATCATCATCATCATATTGGGGTCTGCTACATGAATTCTGTTTTGCCATTCCTTTCTGTTCACTGCCATATCCATCGCTAAATTATGGGCATTTAAATCATTTCTTATTACTTCCACTGAAGTCTTTTTCGGTCTGCCCCCAGCTCTTCTATCCCCTTCAACTTGTAACAGGTCAAGGTTTAAACTTGCTTACATTGACTACAATTTCTCCATCTCCATCCTCCTTGCTAGCTAGGTGAAGCAGTAGATTACAAACTGAAACCTCCTCTATTGATCTCAGAGATTTGATGACTCAGAGCTTCCTAAAAACCCCTCTAGTCCCTGCGGCAAACAACTGTTTAAGGTCATCCGTCGAAAGGGGAGGGCTACACACCTTTAAGCTCCTCTGTTCTCTGACTATACCTTTTCAGAGTCTTCATCTCCAAGTCAGATTTATTGTCCTATTCTTAAATCATGTTGGAAGGCACCGCAATTACAACCAGCAGATTTGTGCTCTTCTCTTATCTATCTGATTCTCTACCCCCATAATTGTTGTCAAGGCTGCAAGAAGACACACTTTCAATGCCTCCAGTTCCATCCTTGTCTTCAGGCTTCCCTGCACTCCCATTTCAAGTGTTCTTTCACTGGTAATTCCCTCTAGCCTGAATTGGACCCCACTGGTTTGAGTAAATAATAGGAAATGTTTTAAAGATTAGATTTTTCTTTTTAAGGAATCATGCAAGTTGGGTGTCCACGATTTCCAGCCTTGGAAGTTTACAATTAATAATCACGTGTTTCAATAATTTCTATAAAATAGAAAAAAGATACAAATTTCATTCTCCTTAATTATTGATACAGAAATATCTGCTGCAAATTTATCAGGGTGAGTATTACTTAAATGCAGCTTGGCCTTGCAATTTCTTCCAAGCACATATTATATGGTGTACAATGCATGTTTCAGCATCTTCCTAATGTAGTTGCATGGTTTTCAGTTGCATACAGTGCATTACTGTTGTAGATTCTTGCATGATGTCATGCATGTGTTTGAATGTATCTGTGCCTTTTTACAGATGCAGATGAATCAGTCAACTTTTACACTAGGACTATTTATGGGAAAGTTGAATGAACTCTTCATTTCCTTTTTGTTTTTTTTTTTCTTTTTCATTTTTGCTTTTTTTTACGTTTGCATTGTCTTGCATCTTGACTTTGGCCTCCATTCTTTTGTGTTTGCATTGAATCACATGCAGGTCTGACGTATAACCACTGTCCAAATGAAACCCCAGAATATTTTTAATGCCAAACTATTCATTGAGAGGCCTTCTTTTTTCCCTAATCGCCTCAAGATTTTCTTTCTTCTGTGATCTCTTAATTTGAGGTGACTTAGAGAAAGTGAAAGATGGTTTGTCTATGCAAAATGGAGGCAATATATGCACCCATTGGAAGTGGCTTGGTGCAAGTTAGAAGTTTCAAAATGGAAAAGTGGTGGCTAAAGATATCTGTTTTTGGGTAAGTCGAAAAGGTTTGACACCTGATTTTTTGACAGAAGACATGGCCTTTGTGAACTATGTTGTAGGAATACAATTCTTGGAGTTGATAGGCAGATGGTGATGATTATGAAATTGAAATCATGATACTATTTTTAGGTTTCAACTTTTAATTAAGTCATGCATATAGAACAACAAATTTACATGCCTTGGTTTCTGAAACATGCAACTTTTTTTTTTTATTCTGTTAGGTGAATATTGGAACCCCTTAAATTAAATTCTCTTTCCTAGTTTATTTCATTCTCATGATTTCATTTCTCCTAGTAATGCTGCTAATTATTGCATTGTGCTTGCTTATTGGGTAGTAACATCTGACCATATTTTGCTGCTATCCTTTTTCTTGATTCTTCAGAGCTGGCAGTCTGACGATGAAAACATCTCGTCTTCAAGTAAAGAAGGCTCATGGTTCAGACGGCGTTACTGGACTAAGGGAAGAAAAACAAGCAGCTTCCATCAGGGATCTCAATATAGGGGTAGAAGTAAGGATGCATCTACTTTTTTTTATAAGTAATAGAACTTTATTGATTAAAATCACAAGTAAAAGGTTACATAGAGAAAGCTCCCCAAAATGAGGTGCGAGATGCTGCCTCTAAATTGCATCACACAGCTTACAATTGAGCTCAGAAGAAATGGTTCCTATGTACCCGTTGTTTGGCTAGAAAATATGCCATCCCATTTTCTGATCTTCATTCCTATTGAACTCTGACTGTTATATTAGTGGTTAAGCATTTGAACCTTTCGATAGCCCCCCTAAGGACCAAGCTATAGTTTCTGACTCTTTCAGCCATCCAATAACCAGTTTAGAGTCGCCCTTTATTAACAAGTGTCCCATACCCAGATCTTTTGCAATCTCTGCCCCTTTAAGTACAGCTTGAACTTCTGCATTAACTGAGTCTCTCAAGTATCACCTATAGGACCAGAAAATAGGGCTACAACTTGGCCTTCAGCATTTCTGAAGACTCCCCCGCTTCCAGACGGCCCTGGGTTACTAATACTACTGCTATCAAAATTTAATTTAATAACACCTTCTTCAGGAGGCCTCCACTCCACCAAAGGTTTTTTTCTTGTAGCAGAACTGTTGGCAACTTGCTCCCAATTTCTCCAGATGTCATCAAAGGAGAAAGGGGAAAAGAAGTCCAAAGACTTTACCCAATTTATAGCCCTATTTAGAGTGCTTTCCCAAATACTAGTCTCATCCCTTTCCTTGTCGTTGAAGATTCTAGCATTCCTTTCCTCCCAAACTGTCCACACTAGAGCAGCTCTAGCGCACCTCCACAAGACTCTACCCTCTTTGGCCACATGAAGGTTGAAGGGTCAAAAAGACTATTGATCTGCACTGGCTCAGTCCACCTGTGTCCCAAATGACCAAAGAGCTTCTCCCAAGGACTAGCAACAACAGGGCAAGATATTAGTAAATGGTGTCTCTTTCAACCATTTAAATGCATCTACTTTCAATCATTTAAAGATTGTCTGCTGATCTAGTGGAAATCTATGGTGTCTCTCTTGTAGACCTTAAAGACTGTATGCCATAGTATTGCTGTTTTAACCAAGATGCAGGGTAGTGGAGCTGGCGGTCGGTTTCCATGTAGGTTATCTCCTATAATGAAAATCAGCAAAATGAACACTGGTAGTTTGGGGGTTGGATCTATACCCGGTCCACCCCTACCAATAGCTTGGTATTCAGGATTTACGTTGGGTAATGGTCCTTTGACCTGTTTGCAAGGTTTAAAATGTTGGTATCAGTGGAAATATTGGTAATCCAAATATAGGAAGCATGTTGGAAATGTCAGAAATGTCACATGGAAGCATTGTAAAAATTATAGACATGGTGTTGTGAAATATGCAGAAATATACAATGATATTTTATGAAATGAAAAAGCACAGCTACACCTTTGGTAATCCAAACCATCAAACAATGCCAAGAATTTAAGGTCAACAGATAAAATGATACCTTACAAAGTTGTCTTACGGACTTTGAGTTAAAACTACACAATAGAGTAAGTTCAAGCAAATGATTTTAATAGATCAATCAAATAATATTTTACACAAACAAAATCTAAGAGCTAATGTCATGCCCAATGAGAATTTCAAGGTGGCTTAAGGTGGTCATCATGTTCATTAGGTGGGCAATAATATTGTTACTCCATGTTAGCGTAGGGGTATTTCTGTCTTTATATCTAGATTAATGTTGCTGATCTGTAATGGTGTGTTGGAACAAGTGCTCTTAACTTAAGTAAGGGCACATAGGTTTTTTCAGTTATGTTTTAATAATAATATAAATACTTMCTGGCCGACTGGGAGAAGTCAAGTTGACTCTTTTAGTTCGAACCAGAATTCTCTCTTCTCTCTTTCTCTTTCTCTCTTTCACCTTTCTTCTTCTACATAACTGATCTCAAACAGGCAGAACTCTAAGGCAAACCTGAATTCTAACATGGTATCAGAGCACTTTGAATCTGCCTAGTGCTTGCCTAGGTTTCTGTTCTCTGCGCACCCTATCTAGTGTTTTTCCTTTTTTTTCTGTGTTTGATTGGAGATAAGGGAAAGGGCTGAAAAGGAGTGATCGCCCTCTTCCCTTGGAGGTTTCTATGCCTCCAGTCAGGTTGTATGTGGTCGGTTGTTGTGATTTCTGAGATCGCCCTCTCCTAGTAGAGGAAGAATAGAGGGCCGAATTGTGTGTGCAGTGGCTGTCGTGTGTGGCTGTGGTGTGTGCAGTGGCTGTCGTGCGTGGACTGATTTCCTGCTTGTATGGGTGTTACTTCAGTGATAAGGTAAGAGATTTCAGTGCATGATATCTATTATGGATTAAATAGGAAGTGTGTTTCAGACCATATGCTAGGGTTTCGGCTAGGGTTTATGCTGGTTTCTTTGTGCATTCTGAAGGAAGAGATATGATCATATAGGGGTGAGATTTCAGGTAGTTGTAGGAGTAGGGTTTGTGGTGTGAACACACTTTTCAGCAACAACAAGTGCTGAAATCAGTGTGACAGGTGTGATCTAGGGTTTGTGGTGTAAAGAGCACACATTCCAACAACAATAAGTGCTGCAATCAGTGTGACAGGTGTGACCTGGTGGTGTGTAGTGTGCAGATCTCAGTGATAATAGAATTCAGCAAGTGTGCAGAATCGGTGATAACATAATGGGAGATAATAATGATTATAAACCTAGTGTGATGGTGCCTACAGACTAC